GTCTCCAGAGAAGGAGACTCCACCACCTCCCTGGGCAGCCTGTTCCAGGGCTCAGCACCTTCAAAGTAAAGAAGTTCCTCCTCATGTTTAGGTGGAACTTCTTATGTTCAAGTTTGTGCCCGTTTCCTCTTGTCCTATCCCTGGACACCACTCAAAAAATACTGGCCCCATCCTCTTGACACCCACCCTTTAAGTATTTATAAGCATTGATCAGATCCCCCCTCAGTCTTCTCTTCTCCAGACTAAAAAGACCCAAGTCCCTCAGCCTCTCCTTGTAAGGGAGATGGTCCAGGCCCCTCATCATCTTTGTAGCCCCCTGCTGTACCCTCTCCAGCAGTTGCCTGTCCTTCTTGCACTGGGGAGCCTAGAACTGGATTTACTGGATACTTTAGAAAAAGCACCAGTTTTTATGTCAGCTGTCTGACTGCCTTTAGGTTGAAAAAAAGGGGGGGGGGGGGGGGGGGGGGGTAATTCAACTGGAAACCATGCTACTCTTGTAATAATTATATTTATGGGTAAACTTGCAAATGGGTATCTCCCCGGTGCAAAGAGACCATTCATTTTGGCTTTTTTATCTCAATAAACTAGGGCTCCTTCTTGCCTGCCATTGTATTCCAACCAGCACAGCTCCCGGCTGAGGAAAAGCACTCGCTGTTTGCCAAAACAACATTCTTTTACATGACTAGCTCTTTCCCCTGTAGTTATTAATGTGTCACATATCGCAGGCTCAGATTGTCTAATATTATGGGAAAATCTACTAGAAGGAGAGAAAAATAAAGGAAACTTCCAGGGAAATTGATTAAAGGGAAGTTAGATATTTGACCCGATTCAGTGGAACAAAATACAGTCAATAATAGAAACTATTTAAACTCCTCAGATGGACACACAGTTCTTTAGTAATAAGTTTTGTTTGTTTTGTTTTTTACCACCTCGGAATATCTATTATAAGAACAAGATTTTAGACTCCTTTTCTCGTGCCAAGTGCAACTGCTTGTATTTTAAGAGATCCGTGAGCACAGCTTGCTATCAGCAAACACGGATTGCACAAAACAAGAACTGTGAGACGTTTTGGGGTGGTTTAACCAGGATCCATCAGAATAAAAACTGTGAGGCGGTGTGAATGGTGCTCCCAACACTGACACACACACATCTTGCAGACACTCACATAGAGCAGTTTTTTTGGTTGCTGACAGCACGGAGTGAAACAAGCTGCCTCTGAGCTCCCTTCAATACCCCCTGGAAGTTTCAGCCGAGGAGTGGGAACACAACTCCAGACACCACTCGCTCACCCAGAAAGGAGTCTCAGTTCATAGTGAAAGGTAAATCAAAGCACATGAATAGAAGTAATGCTACAGAAATTGCCTGAACGGTTTGAAAATAACAATCAGGTCTGCAAATACCAAAACCCTGCATGGGCTTTTTATTATTAGGGCTGTGTTTAAAGGGACGAGTTAACTCAGTAAACCCTTCACATCACCACCTTCAGTGACAGCAGCTCTGTGACAGCCCTGCCTGGCCCAGCAAGGGCTCACCTACGTGAGCCCATGCCTAAAGCACAGCCCTGCCCAGGCAGGGATGGACATCTGGGCATCCCCACCGACGGATGGCATGGAGGAGCCAGGCCAGGCAGCACACTGCCACTGCTGCCACATGGACCCATCGGCTGCAGATCCCAGGGACATCACACATAGCACCCACGGGGCCACACAGACCCATCAGCTGCAGACCCCAGGGACATCACACATAGCACCCACGGGGCTCACTGCCATTTCACAGACTCCGCATGGAGCAACGCCCAGGAGAAGGGATTTTTCTCAGCTTTCCAGCACTACATCTACAAGACAGTGGCTTTTTATCCCTAAGTAAGTGATGACCTGTTGCTACAATTATCAGAGGGCTTTCAAATGCCTTTGCCTACTCAGTGGCTTCAGAACGAATCAACAGGCAACAGGAGAAAAAAAGCTGCAAGCTGCTGAATGTGCAGGCTTGTCTGGATACGAGGTCCATTTTGAGGTATAACTGATCATTTAACAACATATCACCTCCTTGGTCCTCCCACGCAGCTGCCTGGGGAGGAACTTGCTCCGGATGATGCTTTGAACCTGTGAAATCCCCTCCTAAAACCTGTCAAGTGCTGAATGTGACACAGATGAGGTGGAATCAAATTGCCCCATGAAAAGCAGATACTTCACAGTTCTTGCTTCATTGCAGCTAATGATCTGCTGACACCGGTGGGAGTTTTTAGCGGGGATCGGCTTCTGCTGAGGAGAGCACTCAGATATTCTGTTGGTAGCAACCGTGCTCTCGAGGGAACCCCACTGGTAGGGAAATGGCCAGTTATCTTAAAGCTGCTACTTAATAAGGCTTTCCCAGTGGGATATTATTAACAGCTACCAGACAGGAGAGATCTTACAGGAGAGTCCCTGAGGATAAGGATTCCCAGGTGGCCATGTCAAAAAAAAAAAAAAAGAAAGAAAAACAGACAAAGGAAAAAAAGAGAATCCCAACAGCACAGGAAGGTGGGACACAAGGAGAAAATGTCATGAAGCCCTTTCTTAGCAGGACACCTGAGTTTACCTGAGCCTGGGAGCTCTGCAACATGCAGATTGTCTGGGAGAAACTAAGATTATCATCTCTAGTGTGATTTAGTCTGCGTTACTAATGCTGGCTGAGCTAACTAATGTTTTTAACCATCTTCCCAGAACTCGGCTGAGTTCAGGAAGTGCTACTGAAATGCAAAAACACTGTTAAATATGCAACATACGTTCTAAATGGAAGAGGCTTATTATGCCAGATCACTTCATACTCTGCTTCCATGAGTTTAGAAAAGCACAGTCCTTAACAGATTACTCTCCAAATTGCCAGTGTAACCAGTATTCCAAAAATTAAACTTACTTTGTTTTTTTTTCTTGGGGAACAAATACATATTTTCTTTTTGTGGGAGCTCTGCTGTCTGCTATGCACCTCACATTTTCATATTTTAATTATAAAAAAATATAAAAAGAAGTCACTTACACTAGTATCTCCACTCTTGTTTTTTTAATGCCCCTAAGACTCATCAAAGCAAACGCATCTCAGAATAAATGCCTCGACATCTTAAACAGGCCTGCAAATAGCAGTCATTGCCCAGGCAAATTAGGTGTGGGCATACAATTCAGAAAAACATGATCTTATTCTGTAAACCATCACCGGATTTCTGCTTGAACGCTCTTTGGTGATGGGCACAAATACAATGTGCAATTGTGGAAGGGTCTTAGAAACGCCTGGCTAACCCTTTCTGAAAGAGAAGTTTGCTGTTGCTGTAGGAGAATTTGCCCAAGCGGGGTGTTATCTGCGGGGCTCGTGGACCCTCCTCCCTCTGCTCTGGGCTCGTCCTGTTTTTCTCTACGGCGGGTATAGGAGTTGCACCTGGACTTTACCCACCCACCACAGGCAGGAATGGGCTCTTTCCACTCGGAAAAGAATTTGAGGGAGAAGCCAGGTGATGCTTTGCTGCAATTCCCTTCCTATCTACCAAAGCTGCACTTTGCTGAATGTTTCCTTTAGCAAATGGGCCTTTGTTTCAGCAGGGACACGTTTGGGGTGGAGGCCACTATTGTTTCAGCCATCTGGTCCCATAAAGGATCACAACCATTTCCTATGGAGAAAGGTGGTGGCTGCTCCCACTGTTCTCCCTTCCACATCACCGTGCCTGGAGACTTCACTCAGCTGCTAAAATGCTCTGATAGGTGGTATCTGCTCATAAACATTGCCAAGAGATCATACATATCCATCATCCTCTCCTTAGCCTTGACTTGTTTATTCATTTCTACTGTTTTGTTTCAAAGCTGCCATCAATAATTCACCAGTCACACAATTTCTCTTGATTTCCCATCCAAAATTGGCTCCTTGGCCTGCATCTCAATAAATAAAACGCACACATGAGAAACTCTTCAATGACTTTCTTTACATGACTTATGGCAAGACAGGTTCTGCTAAAGGGGTGAGTCATTCAGCAAAGGGAGAGGAAAACTGCTCATTATGTATTTGTGAAATCCCCAAACCACTGAAAAGGCACCATTTACCAACAAAAAGCATCACAGGATGCACATGAACCAGCAAAGTGGGTGAAGCCCTTCTAGAAATGACTGTGACACGGGGGGTACCTCATTGGAGGCCTCTCTTTCTCAGGATCCAGTACGTTACAATGAGTGGGAGGTGCAGGTATCTCAGTTTACATGCTTGTAGGATTTGCCCCTCAGAAATCAGAACTGCAAGTTTTCTTCTGTCCCTCAGGGGAATACCAGAACAACCCGGGGTTTCCCTGCCTCAGCTACAGCCTCCTGAGCTGCACGCCCCTCAGCATCGACATGAAGGAAGAATAACCAGGATGTCCCTGAGCCTCAAAATCAAACCTATCTCTCCAATTCAGTTGTGGTCCCACCACAGCTCACACCTGAGGACTGTGGCCACTCCTTTGGCAGGCAGGACTGGCCACAGGGCTAGGATCCGGCCCAGGTTTGAATTCAAAACCTCCAACCACCTGCCAGCTTGTGGATAACAAGTTCTGGTTGTGCCTCCACTCAAAATAAAACCACTCCCAGGATGGCAGGTAGCTTGCACGCTCATGCCCTAACAGGGAGAATGTACACACACCCCTATATGCAAACCCATGCTGGCTCCCTGCTCCCAGAAAAGACCTGCTAGCCAGAAGGGCCCAGCAGAAACACGCTAATAAATAAACTTTGCAAAAGTCCCAAAGTCCCCGGCTGTCCTCACAAGCTCTAAGCAGCGTGAAGAGCCACCAAAACTTGTTTCAGGAGAGGGAGTGCACACAGGTAAGAGCTGCAGGTCACTCAGATGGTGGCACAGACCCAGCCAGCGTGGGAAGAGCAGAGCACCTTGCGTTTCCCCGTCTGAGCAAACGTTGGGTTTGGTCCCCTCAGAGCCAGCCTGGAGCAGGGGGACAAGACAGTGGCTGTTGCGAGACGAAGAAGGAGCAAATCTTAGGGCCTACTTACAGCATTCGATGGGGTTTGAGGCTGCTTGCAGAGAAATGATCCTGCCGCTGGACTCGGGGATGTGCACGCGGAAGACGAGCCGGACGCGGGTGTTCTTCCTGCCGATGTCCGTCTCTCCCTTGCGCAGCTCGATGTCTGCGTTCCTCAGCTTCAAAATCCCTGCACAGTCAATGCTGCCAAACACACACGCCCTTTAGCTTCACATTTCTGCTCTCAAACAGCTTGGAAATAGGTGACAGTTAAGAGGATTAAGCTGTTTTGCTTCAATCTCTTGAGTTAAGAGCAGCTCCAAATACTGGTTCTGCTTAGGATCTAGATATTGCCATTTCAGCAGTTACAGGGGAAGAAATCCCAGACACACAGCGAGTGAAGGATGCTGCTGGACCCTTCCCGAAAAGTCTGGGCTCAGCGAGTCCCAGGATGGCTAGGGGTGGCCTTTACTCTGGTGGCAGCAGAAGCCACTCTCCAAACATGATAACCCTGAGTCCCGTTTCCCTCCTGTGCTAAGCACAAGAGTCCCCACGGCAGTGCCCCCCCAGCACACTGGGGCACGGAGGGTGAACCACAACAAGAAGTGCACACCAGAACAGGCAAAAAGCTGACCCCGTGCTGGAGCCCTCCAGGAGCTAGAGAGCATTAAAACCTCCACCACCAGCTCTCTAAAGAGCTCCGTGCCCAGAGACTGCACAGCAGCTATTGCCTGCACGTGGGCAAATTAGTTCAGCTCCACGGGGAATCACAGCAGTTGAAGCAGCTAATTGCATGCACCATCCAGGCACGTTTCCCCAACGGTTTGTAATGCAAGCATTGAATTCAACTCCAGAGCAGGAACCAAACTGCTCTCCCCCCTCCTTTCAGACATGGTAGGTGGTCTCCAGCCCCGGCCCAGGTCACCAAGTCATTCTCCAAAGCCCCAGGATGTTGTTCCCAGCCAAGGCAATAGCCTGGCAGAGCAGAGAATGGTTCTCTGCTCCCATTCACCGTGTCCCTGCACAAAGGGAGGATGCAGGGAGCAGGATGGGGCTGAGCAGCAATGAAAGGATTAGAATTGCTTAAACCAGCATTGCAACTTAATATTGGTGTAAGTGTAGATTTACTTAAGAGCCCAGTGTACACTAGCAGACATGCCTGTCTGCAGCAGAGCCCTGGCAAGAGAATGTGCCAATTAATACTTACAGAATCTGAGATCTTCAGCTCAGCAACAGTCATTGGAGAGTGCAATGAGAACTGTTATTAAACAGGCATTGCCAACCTATTCTGATATCAGTTTTAAAGACACGCCATTTTTCTTCTTTAGATATGAATCAAAATCACTTTTTGGGAGGCATAAACCCCAAGCTGCTTCCTACACCCACGCTGTTCCTTGCCATTGCCTGTGTGCAGGAGTTTATTACTCCAGGGCTACTTGTTAGGAACAGACAGTCGTGTTTCATTCAGCACTTGGCTGCTTAAGTTTGAGATGTGGACATTTATTTATTTCCTTGGGTGCAGAGGGAAGGAGAGGCTTGAAGGAAAGGGAGGAATGAGGTATATTTTCTGGAAAAAAAAGACATGCAAAGAAAGAATGTGGATTTTGTGATGAAGTAGGGGGGCTTAAAAACACAGCTGCTCTGCCAATTTTGTCAGTATCCTCTGAAGGATGGAGATACAGCTCTTCCCTCTGCAGAGCAATCACTCTCATGCTGCCTGGCACACATTCAAGCCTGAAGTTTCAGACTGGTGCCCACTTCATCCCTCTGCCTCCATAAAAATGGAAGGACTAATACAGAAAAGATGTGCCTGTACTTGTTTTTCTGTTAAGCTATTGCAACAAAAGAGGGCAATTTCATGGCCAGAGCACTTGGCTGAGTTCAGAAGAGATGTTTTCTGTTCCATTAAATGTTGTAAAATGAATCGTACACCTTTCCTCCACAGTCTACTGCTCCTTGCTTCTCATTGCGTCCCTGCAGCACAAGGACTTGAGATTTGAGTCTCATTTTTCTTAGCACCCTACAAAACCATTCTGACTTTGAAGATGACAAATGATTACAATATAGTCACTGCAGCAATTGGGGTAAAGAGCAAAAACGCCTGCATGGTCAGCTGATGAATGGTAACTCTGTAAACAGCTTTAACCCAGGTGCTTGTAACTGCTGCTCGTGCTTTCATAAAAAGGGTCTTACACTCATATATCATTCCGATGCTCTGGAAAGGAGAGTCCCTCCAGAGCAGCCTTCATTATTCATTTAAGTTAGTCCTTTCCAAAGAGAAGGAACTTCACACACCCATTTAATCCTCCTCAACTTTGCTAATAAAAAGAAATATGCTTACGTGGCTTTCATGTTGTTTTTGGGTTCCAGGGGGATTTCTAAAACTTTGGTGTTGCCAATGATCTTTTCATAGCTGGTGGTGGTGACAGTTTTTCCCGTAATGCGATGGACTTGATAGAAAGCGTGAGGTTTAAGTATCCGTTCATCTGCTGTCCCAATGAAGATCTGAAGACCCAAGGGTTTGTTCTCCATGTAACCGTGAAGCTGGCAAGACATTAAAAATCTATTATCACACACAGGGCTTGCAAGGCCTTCATGTCAGGAAACCAAATAGATCTACAGACTTATATACAGATACGGAGATATATATAGACATAAAGATATGTGTAGTACAGACTGTCTCCTACTCTCAGAGACAGACATCCTCTTAAGAATATTTGGCAGAATCCATGATACATAGGGAAGGGAGATAATGGAAAACATGTAATTAATGGTTATAATACTAAATATATCAAAAAGAAAAAAAGGATATACCAAGAGGAAAAAAGTCCAGACAAGCTCTCCATTACCAGAAATTTTTTGGTTGCCTCCAAAACAGATTGATAAATTGTCTCAAAGATATATTTTTGAGTACACTTGTTTAATTTGCAGTGAATGATTCCTAAATGAGATTTAAAAGATTTTTCTTAGTGGGGTGGATAAAGCTGGAAAGCTGCATTGACTCCCCACACCTGCAACCTTGGGCAATGATTCCTGCTTCCCATCAGCAGGAAACACAGCCAGGACAGAAGAAAGTCTCCCACATGCATTCCTGCAGATACACGTGGTACTCCCTTACACACCTTCTCCAGACCTTATCAAAGCTAATGGAAGATGCCCATAAACATAAGGGGCTTCGAACCAGGCACTATGTGACATCCAACTTGCAAACCCCAGTTTCTGTCCAGCCTAACATTCAGGAAAATGACCTTGCCTCAGCTCAGCTTGTGATTCCTACTTCAACTGCAGTTCAAAAATCAGCATTTTTTTCCCCGTCAACAGGATGTGTCTAGCAAATGTGTCTGTGATATTGAAAACTGAAATGTTAAACTATGTATAAACATTTCAGAAATTAATGAAAGGGCTGCTACAGCCCTTTTGCTGGCCTTGGCACATGCAGTCTTGCCCAGCTCACATCTATTCCAAACCCAGCTGGAAGGACTGTCCTTCCAACCCCTCACTTTGCTCATCACTGCAAGCTTCACCATCTCTCCAGCTTCCCCTGCATCCCTCATACTAGACACACGCTGCCTGCCTTCATCTTCAAAGGTCTTCTCTTTGCCCTCTCACCTCTCATTTTCTACTCAGTTATCGACGTCCACCCACAAACTTCCCAAATCCATCCCCCAAAACACAAGCATCAGCTTCTTAAACGTTTACTCACCCATCTGCCTCTCTCCAGGGAGGATGTTCCCTTTTAATATCTACATCTCCACCCTACAAATCTCTGTCTCTGCACAATTCTTAAAGAATCTTAAAAGAAAATACGTTCTTGTTCTCCTGAAATCACTTCTGTGAACCAGCGTTGATTCACTGCTCTTTGAAACTCATCCTTCCCCTAATTGTTGGTTGCCCTTCAGCCATTCCTCTTGCATTGCATAAAATACTGTCTGTACAGGTAGAGATGGCATTTTTGGTCTGTGACTGTACAGCACCTGGCACACGGAGCTCTAGCTGACCTTAGAGACTGGAGCCTCTAGGGTTCAAGGACATAAGCAGACTCTTCTGTACTAAATAACATTTTTATAAACAGTATTTGCTGCAAGAGAAGCAAGAAAGCCAGAATGCCTCCATAGGCCAGGACACAAGGAAATTTCTCCTTCTTTATTAACATTCAAAATTACAAATCAAACCATTCTAAATTTCTCACATAACCAAAAATGAAAACCAGACATTTATCTACCGCATAGCCAGTGATCTAGCTGAAAGGGAACTTTATGGTCTGAGACATGCTAAATTTGTTTTCAATTATTCTGTCCACATACAAAACCTTGATGAAGCCATACAAAGCAAATAGTGCTGGAAGATCAGAGAAAAGGAAGATTAAGCTAATGGTATTCATGGCCAAACCTTTTTTTTTTTTTTCCTTTTTTCTTTTCACCAGCCAGCGGGAGGTATCTTTGCATAGAAGGATTAATTCCCCCCTGGAAGGGGACCATATGCAGCATCAATACAATCCTGGCAACCTTCCTTCAGTATGGCAAATGTAAAGCGACACTCACTCTTCTGAGCTATCATTACTCATCTAGCACGTATTTGCAAGGCATACAAAGACGGGGTCTATGCCCCAGAGACCTTACAACCCAAGGGCCCAAATCTGCAGCCTCCACTTGCATGAATAGCTCCATTGAAGTCAACGGGCCGTAAGTACGGGTTGTGCAAGAACGAATTACAGAATCCACCCCAGCCACAGCTCAGACACCTACGATAACTCACTCGCACAAGCACTTTGGAAGATTGTGAGGAGGGAAAATGGGCTTTGTGCAAACATGCCAGTTGGCTCCAGGAGCGAGGTGGAGGAGGAGCGGAGCTGGACTCCAAGCCCAAGGGTTGGTACTGGAGAAGCAGCATTGCCAAGAATGTGGTAAATACAAGGGCAGCCATGGGGAGATTTAGAAATGTATAGAGTGTATAGAAGATTAAAGGTGACAGAGGTCAAAAGGATAGCTCTACTGGGACCAGGCGTGAGTGTAGGAATCACCCCCTGTTTACCCATGGAGGCCCATTAAGCCAAGGGTCCTCTGGGAGCCATCCTGAAACTCATCCTCAGTATCGTTACTTTCAAAATCCAAGATTTCCTGGCCTTCAATGAAAAGCCATTGTATGACCAAAAGCCATCTTGTCTTTACAAGGGGAGAGGGAGAAGAGCAGCACAGTTTTTATGTACTGAGCATGTTTATTGTCATGCCTGACAGAGTAAGTCTTTGTGGATCCAGCAAAGATGACGAGAGGATCCCTTGGACTGAAGCAGTTATGACAGTGACAGCAAAGCAGCTTTTGCTCTACCCTCTGTTTGGGCAGAACAAAATCCCAGAGTTACAGGTGGGAGACTGGAACGGAGGAAAACAGTTAATAAATCACAAAAGATAATTTTCCCCCAGTGAGCACAGTCAGTAGCAGCTGTAACAGGACTGGCTATGTATACAGTTTTTAATACTGGCCGCCTTTAAAAGCAATTTTAAGTGGTGTTTCTGCTCATGTATAGAATGAGTTCCCAAGGTGAAACTATTCATGGTCTTCTAATAACATATATGTCTGTGGGTGTGTGTCTGTATAAACGTATACAGACTTAAACAGGAGACAAATTGATTGCCTGTTCATATGGCCATGTTTGTATCATCTGCTGGACGAGGGGATATAAAACACATAGTAAAAGGCCTTCTGGTCCTCCAACGGGGCCAGATTTTAAATTGTTTGATCAATGGAAGAAAGTAACATAATTATTCGGTAATTTATGACATTATAGCAATGCTTTGGGATGACATCACTGTAAAAATCAAAATAACCTTATAAAATGCAAATACAAAGAGAAAAATATCTATAAAAGACTCAAGCATCCAAGTTTAAAAGGATGTGTCCTTATCTTGAGCTACTTGTTTACATTTTGAAAGATAATATAGAATATCACTTACCATGAGCATTTCCATCTACCTTTCACTTGCTAAGAACACATCAGCGTGGCTTGGGAACAAAAAATGAAGATGGGGACAGCTCACAGAACAACTCCAGCCACTCAAAAATCAGAGTTTTACACCCAGCTCTGCCACCAGTTTACTACATAGTGTCAGTCATGTCATATAACCTCTCTGTTCATCCCTAACAGGGGAACAGTGATGGTAACTCTACTTTGCAGGAACTGAAACAAGTTAATACTTTGTGCTGCATTTTTACCCAGACAAATTCACTGTAAGCTAGAATGAAAAAATACATGAAGCATTTGTTTCAGATGTATCTCTCCTCAAAATTGAACTGTGAGCGACTGGTACTGTCAATAAGAACTCACCTCCAAATATGCTTTAGTATTTAACCATAATAGTGATCTTTTCAGTGGAGGAAAGAAGGAGCAAAAGTGACCCTTAAAGAACCCTACAGAGAAGTGAAGACTTCAAACGTTTTTTTAAATAATAACTTTGAAATTAATTTTTTCCTCCTTAGCAACAACCAAGCCACTCAAAAGTCTCAGTTTTTCAGTCCTACTCTTCTGCTCATGATGCAGGAGGAGAACCAGCAGCTCTCTCCCCAGCTGCCCAAGGAGAGGGAGCAAAGCCCTGCAACCTGAGTTTCAGCAGAGACGAGAAGAGAGGACCAGCCCCGCACCAAGGTGTTCCCTTACTTCTCTTTCCCTGAATGAAACTAAATCATCTGGATTTCAGTTTCCAGAGAGCGAGAATGGAGAAAGATTTATGAATACAGAACTCTGGGAGGAAATATTTTTGTGTATTATAAGGTGACCTATTCACAATAAAACTCCCCCAAACTGTATACAGATCGAGCTGGAAAAGACCCAACTCCTTTGAGTCACATTTGCCACAAGGGGAAAGAGAAGCCAGACATGATGTGTACCTTTCCATACTCTATTTTGGGATTTTAAGATCCTATTTCTTTCAGTTGAAAGATTTTTCTTAAACTTTGCTTTTGCATAACTCTTATAATATTAACATCACCAGACATGGGCTGGTCTGTGACCTGAGGAAATGCAAAGCGCTTTGGCAGATAAACAAATAACATCATTCAGAAAACAAGGAGACTTTTCTTGTTTGGTTTGCTTCTGTGTTGGGTTTCTAAACAAAATGGAAATGTGTGGCATGATAAAAATCATCAGTTCACCTCTGCATAAATAAAATTCATTCATTCTGCACTCCATCCATGGATCAATACCAGTCAAATTGGGGAGAGGGGGTATTTAAGTGCCAGTTTCAGGAAGGCACATATGTAATTCTGCATGCAAAAAATAAGCAATGTGCCTTTAGCTGCTGTTTATCAGCAGCCCAGTTACCTGCCTGAACACAATTCCTGTGACACTACCAGTGATCACAGCCATCCAGAGCACACATTAGCCATATAAAACAGCACTTCTTTTTCCCCTGCACTATTTCAAAACTCGGGTCTTTCTACAAACTGAGCCCCCAGCTCGACATACACAAGCGCTTAAAGTGGGGGTTTGAAATTCAAATCTAAATCAGTGCCTACCCCGATGCTCAGATGAGCCAAATCCTGCATCTGCA